TCATTCTCATTCCCGCCCCCCATGTGCACCCAGTCACCTCTCTCTCTCATTCTCATCCCCCCTCCATGTGCACCCAGTCACCTCTCTCTCTCATTCTCATCCCCCCTCCATGTGCACCCAGTCACCTCTCTCCCTCCTTCTCATTTTTCTCTCAACCTTTCTTTCCCAGAATACCAGCTGTGTAACCCTGATTAAAGGCCAATTTATGGTTTCAGTGTAAAACTGTGAGCAGTTGCTTTTCATCCTCACAAAGACAGGCATCTTACACAGCACACACAGGCCTCTGAGTCCTGAGTCCAGCTGACTGGACCCCACAGAAGCCCTCTGAGATGCAGAGATCACAACATCTGTCCTCCTGGCGGGAGCTACCTCGGTGCTCCAGAAAGCAGAGTGCCTTCTCCGGGCTGACTGCAAGGTCCTTGAAAAACTATCTGGCCTCATCTGGCAGGAGGGGAGAAGTAGGCCTACCCTGGATCTCAGTAGCTGATCCTGCTTCCTGTTACCTTTGGGCTGTCCCAAAAGATAAGAGCCTTTTAGCAAGTACGCCCAACACATCAAGCTGCCTGAAACCTAACTGTGTCCCAAGCACCTACATTTCAGCTACCACAGTTGTATCGAGATAGATTTAATTTAAGTCCTACAAATTTCACAAAACATAGCAAATCAACTGTAGACCCCTAAGAGGAAGTCTCTTCCCAAAATAGCTGATGCAAGGAAAACCAAAAAGAATTTTTTCTGGGGGATCTTACCAGTGTATCTGTCAATATCTCCTTTCTGTATCTTTGTGCTATTATTTCCTCCTATTCCCTCCTACTCATCAGGGTTTTTTCCCTCATATTCTTAGTACCCTCAGTCATTATTTAATTCTGCTGAGTAATTTTCAGACAAAAGTAATGTCTGGCCCTTATATTGCGAGGACCTAACTATGTCCCAAGCACCGAGATTTAAGCTATTGCAGTAGCTACAAAGAGATGTTTTCATCATCTTTGTGTCAAGGTTAAATTAATATCTGAGCCTTGACATCTAGACTCTGGTTCTCCATCCTTGTTTGGTCTACCGCAATACTAAGGGTTTCATTATTCAGTTCCACTTTCTCATACTGCTTTAAAAGGATATTTGAAAAAGAAAACTCATGAGAAGTTAGAAATTTTTAGTGTTTTATAAAAACAGTTATTGGACAAGTAAGTGTTAAGCAGTATGAGAAACAAACTCTGTGCCTCCAGAACAGCAGTAAATTAAACACGGTAAAATTGAAGTGCCTGTCTTATCTGGCTGGGCAAGCACGTTGCTGCTAAGAATTATAATTACATAAAAATTCACCAAATATATTATCTCTTGGAAAATTTAAAGCATGCTTTTCAAACCTCTTCTCTCTCCTCTCTGCTGTAGATTCGGATAACCAAAGTTAGTTTTAACTGGAAGTCAAAAGCCATCAGAATACCTGGAAATCTTGAGCTTATTTTGAACATGTTCTTTTATTTCTTATATTTTGAAATATTTCTCTTATTTCTACTTCCATGAAGTAGCATACAGATATAAAATATCATCTACATGCACCCCAACAACACTCATACACAAATGTTGGTGAGGTATTTTTTCCTAGTGATACAAATATCTAAAGACCAAATAAGCCAAGATTCTGGCAAATTGAAACTAAAATAGATTGGCAGTATTAAAAAAAAAACTCTAAAATATTAACCCAGGACTTAGGGAAAGGATTTATATCATCAATAGTATCAACTTTCAACCAGTAATATTGAATTATTGGTGGAGTGGATACGAAGTACATTTAATTCCATGTTCTGTTGTGTGTATTGGAGAAGGGAGATGAAACACCACCCAAGCCTCTTCCCTAAGCTTACTCTTTCGTCCCCCTCTTTCCTGTTATGTTCTGCTAACCGATTGCTCTTGGGTCACCTTTAGGTATTTCTTTGGTTGCTCTGGTTATTCCTGTTTCCTTTGGAATGTTGGTGAATCACAAATGGCCCCAAAAAGCGAAGATCATACTTAAAGTAAGTGTCCCATGCTGTAAGCCCCACAGTTAAATGCTCCACAGTGAGAACTGAAGTCATACGGTTTTCCATCCACTAATTTGTTTTATTCTAATTATATGATTTCCTCCTAGCGGAGCCTGAAGTTATAGCTGCATAGTTAACTCTTAGAGAACACTCTCTGTTGCCCACCCACAGAACAAACTTCTCTTTGCCCTCTGAGACTCTCAGTACAAACATCACCTCTGGGTGTTACTCTAGTCTGTTCACACAGCACATTGTTGTTATCTCTGCTATGTGAGTTTGTGTTATAAAACGTATCTAGAGGCTGTCTTAGAAAAGAGAACATATCTTTCTTATCTCTGTATCCATATGGATACCGATTCAGAGCTTGGTAATTGGTGGATGCTATATTTGTAGTAACCATTCATGCCCCTTCACCAAATATATTCTAGCTAGCTGACATGGATATGGATATAGGTGATGTAGGTAGAGTTTGCTGCTCAAAGGGAAAAAATAGGTCCTTGCTTCTCTGGACAAAATATGTTACAATTTTGTAAAACATGAAAAGGAGAAAATAATGTTATAAATAATAATGTTACATTTGTATACATCATTCTTTGATTATAGACTGTTATACCCATCTTCTCATTATTATAACAATCATGAAAGGTGGCTGAGGCAATATTATACCCCCAACTACAAATGAAGAAATTAAGATTGAGAAAGGTTCATGGTTTACCAAGAGAGGCAGAGTGAACGGGAGGAATTGCATCTGGAAGCCAAGTCTTGCAGGCCCTCATTCTAATGGGTTTTCTCCCTCCCTGACAAGGATAATTTGCAAGCTAGAAAATCTTCTTTTGGCTAATTGAGCACGGACACTATATGTCCTGCTGTATTCTTAAAAATTAAAACATGGGGAATGCACCAGTACTTCCAGACAGCTGATTGCAGCCTTCAGGCTAGAAGTACATAGAGAGATAACTTTATTATCACTTCCCCCAAGGGAAAGGAGACCAATCATCCCTGACAAATGTGTCTGGATGTGCTTCAAACACGATGGCTGGGTTCACTTATGCCTTTTCTTCCAGATTGGGTCTATCGCAGGTGCAATCCTCATCGTGCTCATAGCTGTGGTTGGAGGGATATTGTACCAGAGTGCCTGGATCATCACTCCCAACCTATGGATTATAGGGACACTATTTCCTGTGGCTGGTTATAGCCTGGGGTTTCTTCTGGCCAGAATAGCTGGTCAGCCCTGGTTCAGGTACGTTGAGGTAAAATAGATTGGGAATCTTTCTCTGTAATAGCCATTGTTATGCATTTGCTAGAGCTCCTATGCCCTAGTACCAGGAACAGAGTGGCTTAAACGGAAACTATTGTCTCACAGTTTTGGAGCCGAGAAGTGAAAATGAAGGTTTCAGAGGATTGGTTCTGTCTGGGGACTGCGAGGGAGGGATTTGTTGTAAGCCTCTCTCCCCGCCTTCCTTAGGTTGTTCACACTGTATTCTTCCTATGCACATCTCTGTGCCCAAATGTCCCCTTTTCAGAAGAACACCAGCCGTATTGAATTAGGGCCCTCCTTAATGACCTCATCGTAACTAATTTTAGCTGCAATGATCCTATCTCCACATTAGGTGGCATTCTGATATACTAGGGGTTAGGACTTCAGCACGTGCATTTGTAGGGAAAGAGGATATAATCAGCCTGTAAAATCTGTAAATAATAATGACAAGATAAAAGTCCTTCTCCTTTAAAAATATGCATCATCCTATTTCTGAGCATATCCCTTCTGACTAGACGTATTCATTCATCAAGTGTGCAGCTCCCCAGAAAGAAAACACTGGCTGCCTTCTTTTTTGCTGGGATTGTTCAGGACTATTCCCCGTACAATGCAGGTCAGTCTCTTCCATTACTGTGCATCCACATTCTCCACCCAGAGTGACCCAGACACAGACAGCTAGGTTGGCCTTGCGATATAGGAGGGGATGAATGCCTCATCCAAATGCCCTGAATGTTTGAATGGGTGTGCCATTCACGGACCTGCCGCTGGGTCAAAACATTTCCTCTCCTTCCACTCCATCTACATCAACAGGCAGGTGTAGGAGCTGGTGCGTGTGTGAGGCTGGGAAAGACATGAAGGGCATTGGACCGTGAGAAGGGCCCCACGTCTGAGCCGGGCAGACCAGGTGTTGCCTCCTAACCCTGCCCCATACCAACTGGGAGACCTCTGACCAGGCACTCACTCTTTCTCTTGAGTTTTCCTACCTGTAAAATGGGGATAATCTCTACCTTGTAGATTTTTTAATCAGGATTTAAACAGAACAAAAGAAATTTAACAATGAAATACTCTATTTTGAGTATTTTCAGAGCCCCTTCTCTGTGTGCTGTGCTGTCACCAAGGACATAACTGAGAAGTGTAAAATCAATTCTCTTGTCCCTTACAGAACATGGTGACAAATGAGCCTGCTTCTCACATATATGCGGATTAAATCTATTTGTTCAGTTATTTATAATAAATTACATTATTACATAATATACATTAATAAGTGATATATTTAACCAATATGAAGTTGATGCTGTGTGTGTGGGTGGTAGGTGTGAGCCTGTATGTGCTTACGTATATATTCTTCATAGCCATATAACTGAGGCCGTTGAAGCAAAGGTGTTCTTTATAAGTTATATACATCATGAAAACACATTAATCTAGACATTAAAAGCACACTCAAAATACATACAAACACATACGTGTGTGTGCTCATTCTCACCGTGTCTGCTTTTAATGTTAGACCGTAACAAACAACAACTCAAACACACGTTCTCCTACCGTGCCTTTCAGGTGCCGGACGGTCGCTTTTGAGACGGGGATGCAGAACGCCCAGCTGTGCTCCACCATCGTCCAGCTGTCCTTCTCGCAGGAGGACCTCAACCTCGTGTTCACCTTCCCGCTCATCTACAGCATTTTCCAGCTCGTCTTTGCAGGAATATTCTTGGGATGTAAGGAATAATGCTAAGCACATTTCTTTATGATGTTCTTCTTTGAGAAATCCTGGAGTTGCTAAAATAGATTTTTTTTTTTTAAGTTTCCATTCCTGGTAGTGAGTTGTGCAAATAAATGGGGGGGGGGGTGAAGCCACCCAGCGTATTATCGTGACTTCCCAACTCCTGATGAAAAGACTGTAATTTTACCAAAAGTTCTAGTGAAGATTATTTTTAAGTGAAAAGTAATGGAGGGCGACTCTCCCATTGACTCTTTTCCTCAGTAATTAGGGAGGCATCTTCACCTCTTAGGAACATTTTACCATGTGCCTTCCTACATGCTTCCAGGAGCTCAGAATCCGGTGACTTTTTTCCTAAACATGTCTTGATATGTTTTGTAAATTTAGATTATTTCTCAGAAAATTGGGATATAAAGGATTGGTGTACATCAGGCCGAGGTATAAGGCAGGAGTGTGTGGGGGTGGGGTTGTGTGCCTGCTTGTGCATCTCTACACATTCTAAATAGCCATGTCCTGAGGCAGCGGAAGTGAAGGTGTTCCTCACTGAAAGCACCTGGTCCAGTTTCAGGACTCTCATTTCCACCCTCCAAAGCCTGAAGCTCCCGCCCTCTCCCATCAGGGCCTGCCCCCCACTGGCCTTCACCTCCTGGAAATTTTTCCCTACATTTTGCTTTACAAGGACCGATGATGTTTAACTATTTTTTAATTGTACTTTTCTAATAAAGAAGCTGCTTTTTAAAGCTTCACAGCATTTTACTGGAGACTATAAAGTGAAGGTATAGAACAAATGTAATACGAACGTTAAATGATGTGATGCCTGGAGACGCGGCTTTGTTTTGTTTCCTTTTCTACTTTGCTCCATGCCCGTGGGTGCCGATACCTCTGTACTACGTTCCTCAATGTCTTTCTCAAAGCCACTGTTCTGTTATTCCAGAACACGAGGATCTTTCCTTTTCTACTTTGCTCCATGCCCGTGGGTGCCGATACCTCTGCACTACGTTCCTCAATGTCATCCTCAAAGCCACTGTTCTGTTATTCTAGAACACAAGGATCCACTAAAAACCTTCCACTCTGGATCCACTGAAAACATTCCACTGATTTATCACAGGTCCATGAGACAGGGGTCCACAGCCCTAATAACCTTGTTTTCTTGTATAATAACTGTGTTTGATTGTATAGAGGTTAACCCAATTTGAGAGAGTGAGATTTTTTCCAAATAATTACTTAGCGATGTCTATTAGACAAGCCAGAGAAAGTAGCTGCTTTATTAGAAAAATGGAATTTAAAAATAATAGTTAAACATCATCAAGTTGAAGTTAAAAAAAAAAAGGAAGAACTGGAACTGGCAGGGGGGTTTCACTGAGTTTCATCAGTAAGCATGAAAATGAGGAAGGAATCTTTTTTTAAGTGTGTACGGTGCTTGGAAAGACACTTTAGAGATAGAATTAGAAGTCTGAATAGTTTGGGGGACAAGGAGAAGGGGAAGGAAAGTAAAAAGGAAGAAAGAAGTGAAGAAAAGAAGGAGGGAGGAATGGGTTAGAAAAGATGTTTTGTCAAATAAAATCATTGGCCTCAGTGCAAATTGAGGGAGGCTCTGCTCAAAACAGTTTATAATAAGTGCTAGATCTTCAAATTGACCACAAGCTCAATTAAATTCAATAATATGGTTCAGTGGCTTTGAAAATAATATTTTACTAGAAGTGAGGGCCCACTCTAAAGGAGATATTGATCTTGGCTTAATAAGACCTTTGAAGCAAGTCGTTGTCCCCCTCAGCTGTGCATAGTAAGGACCAGTAACATTTACTGAGCACTAACTATTCTTCATGGACCCTTCTAGGCACTAACTTGTATCTCATATCTCATTTAATGTTCACAATTGCCCTGTGCGAGAGATAATATTATTATAGCAATTTTATATATTGAATTGGAATTTGAGAGTTCCAATCAATAATGCCTCTGTCCTCCTGTTAATTTTGCAACCAATCAATAGGGAGAAAAAGAATCAGATATTTAGATAACAAAGTAGTGCTTTTTATCATGGATAAAGCTTAATTGGAAAATATGACTTGAATCTGGGACCAAATGGGCTTGTGGATACCACCCTTCCATCCACCGCCTCACGCAGGCACAGACGTATGATCACTCACACACACAGAATCAAGACACCAACGGCAGGTCTTCCCTGGCAGGGCAGAGCCTGTCTTGGTGAGCTGACCTCAAAACTAAGCTGAGAAATGCTGCTGCCAGACAGCAGGAGCTCCAGAGGAGATGGGGAAGCTGATAGCCCATCAGATTGCACAGTGAGAGAGAGGGCAGGGAGAGAATGGGAGTGTTGTTCTAGTTCAAACCCTTCTACAAAGGACCATCTGGCCAAGGTGCTGGACACACCACTGCAGCATGTGGTGGGTTTATTGAAGACCACACATGAACGGGGACATGGAGGTGCAGAAAAGGGCCTTCTTGTCATCATTATCCCTGAGTACCACATGCAGGGCCGAATGTCCCAAGAAGTCTTCTGCCTGCTCTGAGCAAATACCCCCTACAGTTGTAGGCTAGGTCTTCTAAAGTGCGTTCATTCCCTCGTGCCATGAGTGGTCACAGGACTCAGAATGGCAATTGCCTTCCCCACGCAGCCTCCAGTCTACAGAAAATGTGAGCTGCTTTCTGAGTCATGGAATATAATCACTGTCCAAACTAGTTTCGCAGCTTATTGCTATGAAATTTACTTAACCTCCTGTGTCTTGTTTTCTAGTTTATTTAATATACAAGAAATATTCTGGGAAAAAGAAGGCAGACTTTCCAGAGAGCTAAGACAGCGAAACAGAGTCGGAGTCAACATTTTAGAAGCTGGATGCAGGATTTCAACCAGATGAACAGTGGGCACCAGATGGATAAACAGAAGAGTTCTACAGGACATTCTTAAACTATAGCTACATTTAATTACTTCTGTTTTCAGGATATTTGGTGGGGAAAAGTGAAAGTGAAAATTTAAATTTCAATTGAATTTAACTGTTGGTTTTGATACCAAGTGACTTGTGGTCCAATCCGCTGAGGTGACAAATATTGTCATATACACATAGCAATGTATATTATATATGCACAGACACACACTTTTATATACTGTCATTGAGATAGTCCCTCAAAAGACCTTCAGACTAAACCTGACATAGGTAACACTGAAAATAAGACTCTTATAACACTACAACTGAATTTTTAGGCATAAAAATTCAAAACCCAGAGAAGAGGACCTGACTTTTGTAGGTTAAAGTAGATGTAATAAATTATTATTGTAGTCATCAAGATTTTCTTCAGCATTATGATTGTGAAAAGATTGAATATCTTCTACCAACGACTTGATCATTATTTTGAAAACTTTGCAACCTATTTATTTATACAACTTTGTAATAAACATAGGCAAATATCTGACTTTCTGTGGTTTTTGTTTCTTGGGTTAATAGGAGGGTACATACAATCAGGTTACATCATTTGCAAGGTAAAATCCAAAGTTGCAGTCCTTTATGTATGTTAAAAAATAATAATAATAATATCCTTTCTGGTGACAATCCAAAACCAAAAACAAGAGAAAACTATTATTAAGTAGAATGCAATAACCAACTTGGAACTAGGTTCTTAACTCATCAGGAATATGGAACATAGGCTGCTCTACCTTAAGGGGTCCAGTGATGCCTATTGCATCTTTCCAGGAAAAAGGGGGAATTTTTATTTCAAATGGTTTGAAATTGGCATAAAGGTCTTGGAGCCCTGAAGAGGCACCTCCTGGAGGTTCGCCCACGTGAGACGTGTCCCCCTCGGCTAATGTGACAGCCGTTCAGCTTACACTCAGAAAGCACAGTCAGGAGCCGAGAGGGGGCAGGAGGTACCAAGACATAGAAGGACCCAGAGAAACACCGCGACTCAAGTGGATGAATTAATTCTGTGGGAGGTAACGAGAAATACAAAGAAAAGTATAAACAGAAAGCCCGTGGAAATGCTGAACTAGAGTCAGTTAGATGTGCAGTGGTAAGTAGCCGGAAGAAGGGTCAGGTGCAGAAGGATCCAGGAAGTGAACACTACACTTGATTTGAAAGCGTGGACACGTCCCAGGGCCCAGAAGTAGGAAGGGCTCTGCCAAGGGCTCATCCAGAGCAAACAAAGAAGACGCCATCAAGCCTTTGCTGGGGGTTGATGGCTGCTGGTGAAACAACCAATCAAGTCCTGGGCTCTCAGAGATGACGTCTAATTCAATTCCCTTCCTCCTAGTGTTGTAGCCGACATGCCCACATTCCCAACGCGGTCCGTACAGGGCTTAGTTCTGTTTTAGATTTTTATATTCTCACCACCTCAGAAGATGCTTTTCAAATCTGACTCCAAAGGCTTTTTGCATTTGAATGCTGTAATTTCAGATCTTGCTGGTACAGCTAAACATGACAAGGACAGGATCTCATCTTAATTCTTGCAGTGCAGGGGTGAGGGATTCTGCTCTCAAAAGTTATACCACACGTCTTTTTCTGTAAGGTGCACATTTACAACGGAAGAAACCTCTATATTTTTACATCATTAGACGAATGGACTAAAATGGACCAGAGAATTTTAAGGGATAGTAGGAGAAAAGGCCTAGAATTTCTTCTTAGTGTCAAAGAATAGTTTCACTGGTGGGAAGGAAAACTTTTTGTGTATGGATTAAGTATCTCCTACACTTTCTCATCAAACAAAGACAGGTGCACTAAAGCCACACCGTGAATTCATCCCCTAATTTCAACACATCCCAAGTCAGGGGCCCAGATGTCAGCAGCTGCAGCAAGCAGGTTGTTCCTCCCTGTTGATCAAGACGTCTGAGTGAGACAGAACTTGGCTTTCTTACGTGATGTGGTGTCTTGTGAGTTGTGTTTTTTTCCCTAATGTGCTTGAGGAAAGAAAAATAGCTGAGCTTTCTAAAATGACAGCTCCTATTTTTAAACGAGTTTGAAAAGTCAATTAAATTATGTATTTTTTTGCCTCTTTGAGTATCATATTAAATGAATATTTTATTTTAAAGCTTTGAATAAATGACAATAATTTTTGTACTGTTTAGTCTAATTGAGTCTTTGTGACTGCTGTCAAGATTTTCTCACTATTCAATTCTAAAGATATAAATAAGGTAGAATTTCTCAGATGTTAAATTGTTCTTTGCAAAGTGCCTGAAAGAAACTCTTAATTAAATACTCTAATAATTAGGTCTCCCACTGATACTGATTGAGGTTTTCCCCCAGAAAATCATACGGGGGAATATTAATCAAAGACTCTTAAAAATGGTGTGACAATGATACTTGATTTAAAATAAGAATAAATGTACTTCATGTACTTATAAATAAAGCCACCACCTTTCATAAACTGATGGTATATACATAGACATACTGACAGAGAGAGGAATACGAATCACAGAGCTCATGCATTGAAATTACTCATCAAGAGACTTGAGATTCGGGTCAACCTCATTTGACTCCTCAAAGACATCATTCTGCTTTTCATCCAGGAAACTCCCACTCTCTTCCAGCAGGAAACAAATTGTCTCCTTTGGAATATTTGATGGCCCATTGCTTCTTGACCCTTCACCTTTTTTGAAACCACCTAAGTTTAGAAGAAGAGTCTTCAAAGTGTGCCATGGGAGCTCGTGAAATTGTCCCACAGATGGGAAGCAGCTTCCCTTTCCTCAAAACTCACAAAACACCCCTGCCCGCAGCGCTCAGTGCTTGAGTTGTCCTGGGTTCTTCTTCTCCACCTTCTTTCACCTCCCGGGTTCTCCCCTTGAAAAAAACTAAGCCTTATTCTCAGGCCTCATCTTATTATGGTGCCTTGGCCCAGGGTGGAAAAAATTGTTAACACCAAACAACTCAAAATACTAATATTTGGCTGGGCGTGGTGGCTGATGCCTGTAATCGCAGTACTCTGAGAGGCTGAAGCAGGTAGACTGCTTGAGCTCAGGAGTTTAAGACCAGCCTGAGCAAGAGCTAGACCCTGTTTCTACTAAAAATAGAAACACTAGCCAGGCATGGTGGCACACACCTATAGTACCAGTCACTCAAGAGGCTGAAGCAAGAGGAACTCTTAGCCCAGGACTATGAGGTTGTGTGAGCTACTGTAACGCCGTGGCACTCTACCCTGGGGAAGAGAGTGAGACTCTGTCTCAAAAAAATATGTATATGTAATTTTTTTACTGAGAAAAGCTTCTTTTCTTTCCCAGTTGTACACAGAGTTATTTAAGGATTCTGAGATGAAGTGTTCTAACCTGTGTTGGAATATTTTGAATACAAAAATAACTATTAACTGGGTTGAGAGTAAGGATACTTGTGTTAACCTGCCAGTACCTCCATTCCCAACAATTTACCCCCCAAAAAGCGTTGCCTTTGAGGGTAATCCTGTGAGAGCAAACAAGGAGCACAGGTCGGAAACATTGAGAGAGAGCACGTATTGGGTTTTTTTCCTCTTCAAGAGATACCAGACTGTGAGAAATGTCTAAGCCTCATCTGGCTATCCAAAATGGGAATTCAAGCGTGAGGTGGCCAGCACAGGGGCCCACATTAACATATTTGTTAGAATTGAAAATGAGGTCATATTTTTTTTTCTGACATAAAGTATAATTTGGTTGATTGGTCTGACAAAGGCCCTTAAACTGGGAAATATGAAGGGAGTTTTTTGTAGATTACTGGAGCTCACTCTGAAGTTCGAAGGCTTAAAAATAATGTTTAAAAAATATAATGCAGAAAGCACATGATAAAATAGTAGTTTTGAAAGAACTCTTAAAACAAATAAGTCAAGCAATCCAATTAAAAAATGAGCAGAAGAATTTGAAAAGACACTTCAGCAAAAAAAGGTCAGTTAAAGCAAGTAAGCATGCAGCAATGGCTAATAAGTACAGGAAAAGTTGCTCAACACCATAGAATGGTTAGATGAATGCGGATTAAAGCTACAAGAGGGTGCCACTGGCTGCCCAAGAAAGAGGTAAAGGGAGAAAATGCTGATGCTCACCAGTGTTGGCCGGACTGTCAACAGCAACTCTCAGGGACAGCTGGTGGAACTGCAAAAACACTGGGCAGCTTCTTTGCAACTGAAGTTAAACACGCACTACCTGCATAACCCAGCAATCTCTGGCCCAGGTACTTACCCAGTGTCACTAGAAGTAACATGATAACAATGTAACTGCTGCCCTTGGACCAGGAGTCAGGGAGGGAATTGCTGCTGAAAGGCATTGAGGGAACATTGAAGGGCCCGGGAAATGTTCTGTGTGTAAAGACTTTAGCAGAGCTTACGCGACTTTATATGTTGGCCGACATTCACAGGGCTGTACATTTAAAGTTGATGAGTCCCATTCTATGTAAATTTTACTGTAATAAAGCTAATTGCAAATTGTATTGGCCAAGATGTAGCAGAAAATGTTCTTCAATATTTTGATCTTCTCAACCCTTTCTGACAGTATGGAGTTAAATCTAGCAGTGCTAAGGGAAGAGGAACAGCTTTAATGGTGGCTATTCGGTAAGTCTAGTAAAGCCGTTGGTAGCACAGTTACCAGGAATTGAAACACTGAATGACTCCAGTGCCAGAAACGTTTTGAAGGATGAGAGAATTCTTTGCTTTTAACAAAAACGGGAGAGGGTCCCATTAAGTTGCCAACACTTGCACTAAAAAAAGTTTTGATGACAGACTGCTATGTGATTTTTTTGGAGGGGGCATGTAACTTGGAGATTTAAGGGACAACATACACAAATATATACCAAGTTCTCTTATTATCATCTACCTCTTTATGTAAACAAGTTTCATCAGCATTTAAATCTATT